GCTTTCTCCAGAGGTCTGGATGACTCGGCCAAAAAACACTGCCGGCAGCAGGCGGTCACTCAAGGTATCTCATTTAAGGGGCCGAAGAGGAGTAAAGAACAAGGCCCGGAAGGGCCGTAATGTGTTGGCAGGTAATAGCATAGGATTCAATTGACCGTCATCTTCACCCTGGCCACTTCCCTTCTTGCCTTCCATCATTCAGGTCATGAACCAAGTCACTATCCTGGCCAGTTCCTTTGCGTGATCACCCTAAACATTCGGGTACCTTCGTCATGGCGGTCCCCAGGTTTTCTTTCGTTGTTACCTGTATTTAACGTCTACTTCCGCCTCCCAGGGGGAATTGAGAAGTATGGCGGTCCCCAGAGCCAAAGGTTTGTAGCGTGCGTCGACTCAAATCTCAATGCTCCTGTGTTTACCGAGCCCTTGGTGGCATCAAGCATAGCATTAAACCCGTCCGAGCCCATGTCATGGTTCGAGGACGAGGAGTATACTGTTGAATGGTAGTCTCAGGCGGACTGCAAGGCGTACTTCCTAGCATCTTTCATCCAAAGCCGCCCCTACCGCAAATCATCGAGTCCCTCGGTCAGCCCAACTACTTGCCCGACCACAATCTTCCCGTCCATCCACTTGAAGCCCCAATGCCTTTCCCTTTTGGGTGGAGAAAGGCTTGTTTTTGTACCAAACTAACCAACAAACTAGGCTGGTTTTGTGTTTGGTGAAAGTCTAAGGTGGCTTTGCTGCAACCTTACAACAACCAACGAAGACGACACTGCTGCCTAGAGGTACTCGGCATTTTCACATGCCAAGGCAAATGATGTGGCAGTGAGGAGGTCTCCCATGGTGTGGAATATAAAGTCATGTGCGGGCGAATGCTCACGACTCTACCACATGGTCACCATCAACCACTTTAACGCAAACCAAACAAACAGTCTCGGGAATCTTAACTCTCTCGGTTGCCACGTTTGCCTTCTTTCACTTTTGAAGCCGGCAAAATGGGTTGTCCTTCCACTTTCGATGTGGTGCCGCAAACCCGCGATGCACTGAGCTGCCAACCACACTTTTGCTTTTACGTCGGCACTCCAGACCTGCTCGAGAGCCGCAGCCATGAAAAGGCATCATACGTTCTGACCTTTAAAGAACAGGACAATTCCTCCTCGTCCAAAGTCCTCGTCCTCCTCGACGGCTTCGACAAAACCCGCACCTTCTCCCCCGACGTCAACGATACCCTCGGCGTCGAATTCCACTGGCGCGACCTCACCTCCGATCTGCCCTTTGTCTCGCCGCCGCGCATCTACTTTGTCTTCGACCTTTGCGAGTCCAGCCGCCAAAGTTTTCTTCCTTCCTTTATATCCTTGCTCAAGCTGGCGCTGGGTCCGCAAACGGTACCCTCGCACTTGGACTATAAGTTGAGTGAGGACTTTGTTGCCGCGCTGAACGCTATTGACGCGGATCCCACGGGCAAGGGTGATCTGGCGGCCAGTTTCGCCTCGTTGGCGTCGGAACTTCCACCACACTTGTCTCCGCTGCACCCTGGCCCGGACTCGGCCGTTCTGAGGGAGTTCTTTCTCAGTATGACGGATAGAACGGCCTGGTCCATGCATGGCACGTTAAGTAGCTCGGCGACGAAGCAATTTTTTGAGCTAGTAAAGATGCTGGCTTCTTCGGGGGGACCACCGCCACCACCGCCTGAGACCAGCAACAACAATAACAGCACGAGACCCAAAGAAAAGTCGACCATACCCTGGTACCGCAACTGGATGCCCTTGAATTTGGGTAGCGAGCGCCCGCCGCCGCACGACGTCGAAGCGGTGCTGATTCGCACGCGGTGGCGTGCGCCGCGCCTGTGGGCCTGGAACCTGCTCGGCACGGGCCACGAGATACAGCCGCTCAAGACTCTCTTGGATGCATTCAAGGAGGTGGGATACCTGGACACGCAAGAGGGCAAGGTACAGACCCTGGTGAGTCTGGTGGAGGGACAGGGGACTGACCCGTTGCGGCCGTCGAAATCCAGGCCGCGCGAGGTAGGGTTGGTGGTGAAAGCTATACGGTATACTCTTGCGTTGTCCACGCCTACGACGCCACCACCATCACTCAGAGACGCCCTCACAAAACTCGACCGACTCAAGATCTTACTTCCCGCGGTGCAGAAAAAGGGGAATAAAGAGCTCCTAGCCTGGTTGCTCGATGACGCTGACAATCAAGGAGGAGGAGGAGGAGGAGGAGGAAACCTGCGCGAGGTACTCAATACAGCCAACTACATTCGAGGGCCGAGCCCGGAGAATCGAATGAAGAGGGTCTGGCTGCAAAACTATGTGCTGCATACTGCCGTTTGTCGCGGAGATGTGGATATGGTCAAGCTCCTGTTGGAGCGGGGCGCCAAGATGTTGCGGGACGACGAAGGAAGAACGCCGCTGATGTTTGCACGGATGTTGTCAGGCAGTCGCATACGCTATCACGAGATAGAGGAGAAGGTCGAGGTGTTGGAGGGGTGGTTGAGGGAGAGAGAGTTGGATAGCGAGTATTGGGATGAGCCGGAGGAGTATGCTTTGGATGCGTCCGAGGGAGAAGACGGGTTTGAGTTTGAGATTTCCAAGGGATTATGGTTTTTGTAGCACGTGATAGGCTAAAAGGACTTGTTGTACTTGGATAGAGAGGTACCTCTACTTATAAAGGGATTACTGAACCACCCCTCATTTCCCAACATGCGACTCACTCAACAGCTAGGCCCGCTTCTCACACACCTGACAACCGATTTATCAATTTTGTGTCGTTTGTTCCTCTTCAGACTTTCACCAAACATGTCAGGCCTGGAAGTCCTCAGCGAGCCTCCAGCATCATCTCAATCGTCGACGCAGTCTCAAAAGTCATCAGCGCGTGCCGAGACAACTACGGCTTCCCCGACGCCATTAGGTACGCCTAGTACACTCGTTCACCATTGGGGGTAGACATTGCTCTCGGAAGGAAAGTGTGGCAAGTTTGCGTCTCGAAAACAAGATCATGCGTCTACAGGCTCGGTCAAACGGAAAAAGGGCCGTAAGCTTCATGATATGATATTGCTAAATCCAACTTGGGCCATCCTGCCTCGGACAAAACTACATCTAGGTACGCTATCTCTTGCCTTGATTCCCCGACCGAGCTTTATCTGGCCTCTATAGCCAAAAACAATTCGTCCTCTTCCATCTCCTCAAGCCGTTCCTCCATTATCAGAACCAGAAGTCGTAGTCCGGGTCCACCCTCGAGCGCCAAGGTCCGAACTTCTTATCCTCAGATTGAGGCACGTACCCAGGGCCACAAGCTTCGGTCACGCGACGCGCGCTCTCAACCATTGCTTTTGCCAGCCATCCACTAGACTTGTTGATACGCTTGGTGTAGAGCTTGTGAAGCGCAGGCAGGTAAACGACATCGTTGACGCAATACTGCAGCGTCTTGGCGTCCAGAGGGCGGCGGGAGAAGATGTCGCTGTTGGGCATGTTCATCAGAGCCCGCACCTCCTGCTTGGTTCTGGCCCAGGGCTGCTTCTCTTCCCATCTCAGCGAGAGGTCCCTCTCGATACACCTGTCGAGCCCGAAGAGGTACGTCTTGCCGCCGGGGCGGGATCCGTTTTCGAGCAGCTGGATGTCTGTGACGCCCGCGAGACGGATCTTGTGGTGCGCCCAGAGGGCGTCCGCGTCGTTGCGGACGTCCCAGAGGCATTTGGAGGTATGGGGATCCTCGAGAATGGCTTTCAGGGTCTTTCCGTCTGGGCTGGGAGTGGTGAAAGCAGAGTCGCCGAGGGTTTGGACATCGACAATGCTTGTTGCCCGCGTGGGAAGGACGAGAATTGTCAAGAGCGTCAAGGTTCCGTGACGGCTGAGATTTCTGCCTTCAAGGTCCAGATATAACGTGCTGGACGGAGGGATCAAAGAGAGGAAGGCCTGGAGGTCTGGAAGGGATGAGATCAAGGTTGGGGTCGCCATGCTTGACTTGGGAAGGGTGCGCTTTGCCGGTATCTTGATATGTCGAAGGGAGTTCTCTGCTGTCCCAGAACGCAAATTGATATGGGGTTTGCCTGTCTTTTTATGTGCGAAGGGCAATTTTGTTGCCAAACCTTTCTTCAGGCTCGAATGCATGGTGTTGAAATCGAAATGGGTAGGGCCACATCATCTATTTAAGTCAAGGCAGACAAGTACACGTCGGGCCTCAAGCATACTTTGAGCTGATCCTTAGTCTAGAGCTATGGTTGGCTTGTCGCTCTCAAGGCTGCCATCACCCTGTTTTGGCAACAGTTTTGCAGCTTTGGGCCAGTGGGCCTCTGGCATAGAGCTCTCTCGGCCAATCGACTCGTTTACAAACGAAGGTATTGACGGCTGCGCCGACAGTGTGTTGTAACGGAAGCCAACCACCATGTTTATGTTCCCGAGCTCAAACGTCCTGACGGTCCAGCGGAATGCAACTCGCCGAGTCGAGCTTCCCGACCGACACCTTCCTTGGTTGTCTTCGTGGCCAAGGAGTCTGGATCGAGAGGGTTGAGGGGAGGCAGAATCCAAGAAAATAGGTCAGGTCAAAAAAAAAAAAGAAACGAAAGAAATCCCAAGTCCAAGGCGCACAATTCACCTTCCCCAAGCCCAACAACGTAGCCCATTTCGAATGCCGATGTAAGATGAGAGGTGGACGGAGTGTGCAATCCACGCGTGGTGTGGGTGAAGAGAGGAAGAGCCGAAGAGGGTATGCAGTTGAAAGTGGAGCTATATCTTATGTAATTACAGTTGCTCACGATATGGAACTCCGCCTCCAGTAGGCGCTATCTAACTCGCTCCAAGTCTGGCAGGGTTTTTGTTAGTGTAAGTGCCGTGTAAGCCACTCCTCGTCCCCCTTACCTTACCTTACCTCTTAGCATCCATCCAATTCCCGTACATCAACTTCAGCAATCATGGTTTCCTTTTTCGACGCATACCGCCACTACTCAAAACACGGCGATTTGGAGTCCATTGAAGCCATGTTGCAGATCTGGAGGAACGAGACCGCGTCTGGTGCCAACGCCGACTTGGCCATGTCGGATCTGCAGGGCGCCATGGCCGACGTCTTTTGCGAGGCTGTCTGCCGAGGACAAGAAGCCGCCGTGCGCATGATGCTTGACGCCGGTGTTGATCCGACTCATCTTCGTCAAGCTTGTGATTCAGGCTACTCACCTCTCCAAATCGCCGCCGAGTATGGCCACCGCGACATTGCTCACCTCCTGTGGAACGTGGTTGGTCCCCAGGGCCGATTCCACTACCCTAGCCCGAGACAGCCGTCCGAAGCCATGCCGAGCTGTCTCGTGCTTGCTGCCTATAACGGACACGCGCATCTGGTCGCCGACTTCCTCGACCTCTACGACGGCTGGTCCAGTCTTGAGAGACAAACAAGCCTTTTCCAAGCGGCTGCCGTGTGGCATGACGACGTGGTCGCCTTGTTGCTAGCCAAGTTCCACTATCAAAGTGTCGACATCCAGTGTGCCCTAGAAGCCGCAGTCGCCATCCACGGCCGCGACCACGCAAATGGGATACCCGTGCAGACGCGTAACGGAGAACCTCTCAACCGGGACCACCAGATCCGCGTTGTGCGTCGACTTCTTAGTGCCGGCGCAGACGTCAACCGGCCGTTCAAAAATCAGAAAGCCTTGCCCATCCACGAATCCTTCACCCAGATCGAACTTCTAAAATTGTTCCTCGAAAGGGGTGCAGATCCCAACGCAAAGAACGGCTACGGCCAAACGGTCCTTCACAGAGTCGCCGCAAACTTCAATCCTAGCCCCCAAGGCAGACAGAACCGGGACTACCTAGAGGCCCTCCAGACCCTTCTCCAACATGGCGCATTGCCCGACGCCCCTGACAACGAAAAGGTCGCGCCTCTCCACCTGCTTGCCGACACCGGGACACCTAATGTGCTTCGAACATGTCTGGGATACTGCGTCGATAGCTCCAGCGCCGTGCGCCAGCTCAACCAGTTCGGGGAGTCGCTGTTACACTATGCTGCCGCTGCTGGAAACGGAGAGACTGTTGAGTATCTGCTCGACCAAGGTCTAGATGCCGACCAAGCAAATGCCAACAAGTGGACGCCCTTGCTCTGTGTGCTGACCCCCGCCAAAAGCTACAACAAAGGACAGACAGCTGCGCGGCTCGCGGTAGCCCGTCTCTTGCTCGAGCGTGGTGCAAGCGCCCAGGTGATGACGGAAGAAGGATGGACTCCGTTGCATGCTCTCGCTACCGTCCGCGACGTTGATGCCACTGAAGAAGAGAGGACCGGGGTAGGAGCGTTCGCGGAGGAACTAATTGCAAGAGGCACGCCCGTCGACACAGAAGCAAGTGTACTTCGATACTGCTCTCCCATCTTCACATCGATTCTGTCAGGTGCCTGGGGGCATCGGATGGCTGAGCTTGTTCCCCAGTTGACCAGGTGGGCTGAGGATCGTCATTTGCAGGCGTACGAGGACTGGGAACTGACACCGCTTCAATGGGCCGGCCGTACCGGCGCGATTGATGTTTTTGATGTGCTTATGAGGTACTTTGCGTCGAAAGAACAAGCTGAGCCCAGGCCTGATGAAGGTGCCGTACGTAGATAGGTCTTGTAAGGGCCGAGGAACATAGAGTTCGCCAAGGTTACGTACTGTCATGAGAGGTAGGTCTAGGTACCTATACACAATGAGACGGTAGGTAGTAGCTACGCCAGGTATGTGTGATTGCTTGCTCGTACTGTTTGCTTGCTTTGTCCTTGAGTATTTCGTGTTGGTGAGCACTTGAAGATGGCCTCCCTTGTTTGTCCTTCCCTGGAGCCTGAGCCGGTTGGCTTGGCAAGTGCCAGCCATGCCGTTACCAACTGACTTCTTCCGCAGACTGCGTGACTTGTAGTTTGTCAGCTTCTCCCTGAATACCTCTACCTTGCCTATTTGGCATTAGTAGATGGCCCTCAACTCTTCTCAAGTTCACAGACTCTCGAGTTCTCATGTTCAAAGTGTAAAAACTTCAACCGTTGGTTGGAGAATTTCCGGTGTAGTTGGCTGCAATCCACTCAAGGCCAACCGCCCATGACTATTTTCCGTTACGGGTCGTTGGACACCGATCCAACAGAAACGCTCAAAATCCAAGAATCGACGAAACGGACGGAAGAATGACTACAGCGAAGGCTGTCAGTCTACATGTCTTGCGAGCAGTGATGATCTGGACGAACTTGAAAGTATAAGAGGCACTGAGCCCCCTTGCAAAGCATGAGAGTTTTGTTCACTCGCTCGACATCATCTATCCACCTGTCTGTCATTTCGCACATATTCTTCCAAATCCCTCAAAATTTCCCCATCATTAACAGACACAAAAGCACGAATCGTCTCAAAGCCGCCAACATGTCATATCACGAGCTCTTGAACGTTATCGAGTCTATCGAGGATGGATTATTCGATTCTCTCATTGAATCTCTCAACTCCTTACCGAATTCCAACACCGAAAAGTGGTGGGAAACGTTGGCCGGAAAAGTGGCTGATTGCCAGACCGAGTGGAACAAGTGGTACGCCGCGTACCTGGAATGTGAACGGTTTCTCCAAAATGAAAACCAATGGAAGGGCAACGGGCAATACAGTTATGTGTTCCTCACTCAGACTGTCACCGAGCTTTGCACTGCTTTGGAAGCACGTAAGAAATTGACCCTAAAATAACTGTTGGATCGAGGAGCAGCTAGGTAACAAAGGATAACCTACTTTCTGTGCTTCTTTAGTGGCTCGCTGGACTAAGAAACTCACCACAGTTTCTAAGTTCTTGGCTGAAGGGAGAGATGTGGAGATTATAGTGCGTACCTATCTATCTACCTCTTCCCTACCTACCTTCAGAGTTCATAATACAGAAATCTAACGCGTATTTTCCGTTAGGACCAAGACCAGACCTCCACTACAGTCACCAAGACAATCAAAGACGCTCGGGTGGAAGCGGTCAAGAGAATCTTTACAGTTGCGTGCCGACTTCTGGATTGTCAACGCTTCAAGGACCTCATGAAAGGCGAGGAGGCAAAGACACAGAAGCAACTGGAGGAAGTCGAAAGCCGCACCACCGCCGCCGTAGTAGAGGAGATGCACAGTGCTTTCTATCTGGATGTCCTCGGGGCAGATCTCGGAATCACCAATCCCGAAGCGATGGAGAGGTATTTGCGAGCACTCCTCCCGCAGTCCGTCATTCTTCCGTTGGTTAAATTAGGTACTCGGAAGACTACCTACCTATGTTAGTTTGCTTATAGGCCATAAAGAATTGGATGTCAAACCAACATTGGAAGTTTTAATCTGAGCCAATGTGATTTTTGCATTTAATCCTGGACCTAACATCCAATGTTGAAGGGCACAGGTTTCCAGTACGGTATACATATCTCTGGGTAACACTATTTTCATCATCTTGATCCGATTGCTGATCTAACTACCTAGGTACGTACTATTATCAGACAAGTCTTTCCTCACAATTTTGCCTCAGCTTCAATTCATGCAGCTTGCTCGCCAAGTCCTGAGCATATCCACACATGGTCATGGTGGGATTCCAACTACCCGCCGTTGGGAAAAGGGCAGCCCCCGTGACGTGGACATTCTCAATCCCATGAGGACGATAAAGCTCATCCACGGAACCACCCATTTCCTTGGATCCCATGAAACAAGTGCTGGATTCGTGAACGACCCCAGGAATGCGAATGGTGTCGACTGCTGGCTTCGTCTTGCTCCAGCCATGACTTGTCTCGTCCCACCATTCGATGCTCGACTCGTGCTCCTCATCATCGCCGCCCGCCATTTCTTTGATGGTGTCGTAGGTGGCCGTGTCCATCACGTCCCAGCAGGCATAATCGTCGTCGGTCAAGGTGTATTGTAGGGTGACGTTGCAAGTCGGGTCGGTGCCTTTGTTGAGAGTGACGTGATTCTTGGGGTTCTTCTCGCTGAACTCGCCAAGAGCGGAGCAGACTAGGTAGGTAAAACAGTGCTAGGTTAGCCTTCTTATAATCCTCTTCTCTTTTGCATAGGGGCGGCGGCTTCTTCTTCATACCAAACACAACGTAGTCCTCAGAACCTATAAGCTGATCAAGCGTCGCAGCAGCAGCATAGTCTGGACACTCGCGAGCCGCGTCCTCTGCATCGTCTTTCGGGTTAGGGCTATTCAGCGCCGTGACCGAGACGTGATACTGTAGGCCGCTCTTGGGATCTCTGCCAGCCACGTATGCAGCAGCCATCTGGAGCGTGTCTTCCTTCTTCCAGCCCTTGATGTTCTTCACGGGGCATCTTGCTGAGATGTGTGTCACAAAGTGGCCGGTAAGCCTCTTGCCGACGGTGTCACGGCAGCTCTCAAGAGAGTTCAGCAACATGGTGGCGTTGGGAATGGCTCCAGCGCAGAGGATGATCCTGGTCTTGTTCCCAGTCCACGACAAAGTGCCCTTGCTAGTTTCGATAACACGGACAAAATCATCGTCGTCGCCTTTAGCCATGCTTTTTGCCGCACACTCAACCATGATTTCCAAAGGCGCTCCCTGGTTGGTTTTGGCCAGCTGCCTCTGTCGTTCCAAGATGCCGAGAAGAGGGCCGGGGACAGAAAACTTGTTGAATCGCAGACGAGAAGTTGGGCTGCGTCGTCCAACAGCAAGGGGGGCCGACTCAGCATAGTCGGCAGTGGGAATCTTGCAAACCGAGCGTTCGAGAATGCGATCAATGGCAGTCTGAAGGCTTCCAAAGACGCCATCGTTGATCTGAGCTGCCGGTGTGACATTCAAGAGTTCCTTGGCCTCTTTCCAGAATTGCTCGTGTGAAGCAGTCTCCTTCATGGACTCGGGAAAGTCGCGCATGAGGTCTAGACTGGGCCTCGGGCTCCAGGCGGACCAGAATGTCGATCGGCCACCGAAAAATGGGCAAGACCCGTGGCAGAACTTGAGCTCCTTGGTCTCAAAGGTCTTGCGCGAGAGGGTCCAGGGGAATGTCTCAGAAGGCCCGCCCAGAACCATCTTGAAAGGAATTGGCAGGTTTTGGAAGTGGGAAGGGAGCCAAAAGCCTGTGACATACCAAAGCATGAGACGACGGCACATGTATAAGGGTATAAGGGGAACCGCCAATGGGAAAGTACTCTACTTACCTCCACGCTCCAAGCAAAGAATCTTGGCACACGGGTCGAGATCGAGTGCCTTCTGAATGAATGCGAGAGCAGTGAAGCCCGAACCAATGACGATGTAATCAAAGTCTCCATGGGCCAGGATATTCCCCCAGGTTTGGTCACTAAGTAGGTAGAAATCAAGGTCAGAACTGGAATTCAATATTGAACAAATCCAAGCACCATTATTGCTTCATACCTCGCGAAGTAGTCAAGGGCCATAACCGACGTAGAAGTAGGTGCCTGCACGCTAGGCACAGGGTAGCCGTAAATGTTGGCTCTCTGAGGCTGACGATCATTGTGATTTTTTCCAACGCGGCAGTGAAAGCTAGGGATCGTTTTCCCTGGGATGGTCAGGTAGTCTGGGAGGCTTTCGGTGTTCATGATGAAAGTAGGGATCACACGTGGGCGTATATTGAAGAAGGGAAGCGAAAGGCTTGGTTCGGTTTGATATCATCGGTTTATTTGTCGTTCGTTGTCAACTGGTCTGGAGCGCCCTATTTATGTTTTCATGGCATGTAGCACCTTTGTGAGCAGAAAGGATAGGTAGACCACATGCATGTTGGAACGGCATAAGGTGATACACAAGAACGTTGCCGACATTCTCTTTCTCCCTTAGTCTGCAATAGAGACGCGAAAGTATCGACAGGTGGGCTACTGTTTTCAGCATGGTTGAGATATTCGTGGCGAGCTCAAACTGACGACCTCGTTAGTTTGCATTCGAGACCGGACTGCCCGTACTATTGAAAGCTGACACGCGTGATGAGGAATGGCTTGTGCAAAAAGTCTCACTGGCACAATTGTTGATATGTATAAGCGATCACTTGTCACGCAGGGCTGACTACTGTTTTCGGTATGACTCAGATATTCATGGCGAGCTGAAGGATCTCGGTGGTTTAAATAGTGCGTTCTAGATACCGAAATGCGTAATTGATAGCTGCTGACCACTGTTTTCAGTAAGGTCAAGATATTCGTGGCGAACTGAAAGACGTGATGAAGGCTGACCGAGTTGCAAGGTTCAATTAAAGTTCTTACCCCGGTCTTGGCAGGTGCTTACTGTATTCAGTTCCGTCCTTGGCCGCATTTTTCGATCGAAAGGGGGTGGCTGGACTACCGTATGTGATATTGATCGCTGCAGTATAGACCACGTTCTCGACTGACGCTAACGAACCGTGCCGTCCTGACATGACGATGCCTCGACCTGCCTGAACTTCTGCTCTTCAATGATTTGGTGTTGGACCCCTGTTTCAGCTTGCCACTGAGCATCATCTTGCACGAGTCTGCCGCTTCTGACAGTTTTGGGCTCGGCCCGCAGCAGCTAACGTCATCTTGGAGCTCTAGGCAGAGAAGATGGACTCTTTGTGGAAATATCACAATGGCTGAGCAGGATAGAGGTTGTGATGGGGCGAGTCACCAACATGAAGCGAGTATATCTGTCTTAGATATAAAGAGTCAGTATGTCCGTCCTCAAGCTCTCATCTCAGACAGCATTAGAAGACCAAAAATCCAGAAGCAGCGATACAACAAACAAACAAACAAACACCATAAACCAGTTTGCAACGTCAAGCAGACATGACCTGGCACGCCCAACTTGCGTTGGTGCTGGCTCTGGTCTGCCCAGCGACCGCCTGGTGCTCCGGCAAGTCAGACGCCTGCTCCTCTAACCCGATCCCACTGAGGCAATTCAACGCGCTCAACTACCAGGCCAATACGTGCAACCTCAAGTGGAACCGCGGCTGCACCAGCCTGGACAAGCACGGCGCGCTGCAGCAGAAGCCGCCGCCGTACTCACTATGCAACTCGGGGCACCAGCCGGCCGGGCGTGTGCCCGTCGACGCCTACACGCTGTCGCTGCAGAACAACAACTTCGCACCGGGCTCGGCCAGATGGACGCTGCACGGTCTGTGGCCTGGGTCGGTTGACGGCACTGGCGGAAAGAACCAGCCCTACGGCTGTCTGAACGGCGAGGACTTCAACGAGACAATCCTCACGACCTTTGATGGCCTGCTCAACTACTTCTGGCCGACCAACGCAAAGTTCAACAACACGATGCAATGCTTCATCCTGTCCGAGTGGATGAAGCACGGCACCTGCGCAGTAATCCCCGGCGCTGACGGCACCGCGTTCCGGCTGCCGCAGGAGGACTATTTCCGCACCGCGTTTGTAATCGCCAACGAGTTCAATGAAAGCCCGACGCTGCGCAACCAGCTGCTGGAAAAAGTGAAGCTGGACGACGTAGAACCGCTCATTAGCACCCGCTGCGTGCAGTGCGCGTATCTGGCAACGGTGGGCTGGACAGGCACCGATGTGGCGAGCGTGCCGCGCATGTCAGGCGACTGCATTGACCAGTGCTTTGAGTGCGGTGATTTCTGGGACACATGCCCGCCGGCTCAGCTGGAAAGCACCGTGATGCTGAACTCGAGCAATGCGCCGCGGGAGAAGAGGGACAGCAGCAGTAACAGCAATGCAACTGCAAGCTTCCCGCTGCTGGAATTTGCCATGCCGGCCTTTATGAGCAGTGAAAACAGCTCCCCCTGGGAGGGCACCTGGCGCTCGTTTGGCGCCGAGGAGGGCGGGTCCGGCAAGTTCGAGTTCGCGCAGACCTTTACTGACAACGTCCTGACCGTCACCACTGACAGCCCATACCCCCGGACGTGCACCTACGAGCGGCGCGGCCCCAAGGAGCTTGTCCTGCGATGCGGCGGCGACCATCTGGAGGACTGCCTGGTGCAGCGGTTGCCGGATATTGGCGGGCTCGAGGCGGCCTTTTTGGCATGCAACCACACCGGGGAGCCGGCGCCGGCGAGCTTCTACGCCGCCATGGACACAAAAGGGTGCGGCAACTTTCTTATGTTCCGCTGTAAGGCGTCGGCGGCGGGCTGTTCCTTTTCTCCGGATTCTATCTCGGCCTCTGAGCCCAAGACCGAGACCAAGACTGAGCCCGAGTCCGGGTTCGAGTCCGAGTCCAAGCCCAGCCCTGTGAGCCACTTCCAACCTGGCATTGCCGGAGCACCCCCCGCGCTGCTGGGCTCGTGGCGCTCACTGCAGGTAGATAGCGACTACGAAGAGGGCCTTGCACAATGGAACTTTACTTCCGACGGCCAGGCGTCGCTGCGGTGGCCAAACTACCCCAGCCGCGCCGTGCAGCGCTACTCAGTCTCGCACTCGGATGAGGACCCCAGCCTGGTGCTCCTTGCCAGCGCCAGCGGCACTATCACCACCTGTCGCTTCCAGTTCCAATACCAGCCGGTATACTCGTACGCCGTGCTCGACTGCGGATCGGCAGGAGACAACGAGGAAGATACGCAGAATACGAAATGGGCCATGGGTCGGTGCAACCCGTGCAGCGCCCATTGTCGCTACTCGTGCGGCGCTGAGAACGACTTCTGTGGTGCCGGCTCGTGCGACCCGGCCGAGTCGGTGGAAGCCGCATCCGTCGATGCCCTGCCCTCGCTGTTTGACAATACGCGCGCAACACTCAAAGACGACCATGACTGGTGCACGCCCGAAGACTCCGGCTGCTGGCCCACCAAGACGGCCATCCGCAAGCTGGAACAGGAGCTGGACCCCACAGTGCCCCGGCTCGGCCTCCGGTGGCACAGCTACCCGGACCCGCAGCCGGCGCCGGTACCAATGGGCTCCATTGATAACCAGTCCTTCTACGGCCTCGGTAACGCGCCCCAGGGCCTCAAGGCGCTATACTACTACGAGGACATCGCCGAGATGCAGCGCCCATGTTTCAATCAGGCCGACCCCCCTGCCGTGTATAACACCGCATCAGACATGTGCAAGGCGGCGGTGCACCAAAACGAGTACCGCAACTGGAACCCTTTCATCGTTGTCTTCCCGCTCAACGAACGCCATGTGGTCGCAGCCCTCAACTTTGCCGCGCGGCACCGCCTGTGTATCGCCACTGCCGGCACCGGCCACGAGTACAACAGCCGCAACTCGTGCCCGACGGGCGGCATCCTCATCCGCACAATCCTGCTCAAGGACAAGACCTTTATGCCTACCTGGCACGAGGATTCGACCTTGGCCCCTGCTGGAGCATTCCGCTTTGGTGCCGGCTCCACCTTCGCCGAGATGCACGCCTTCTCGAAAGACTACTCCCGTGTTATTTCATCGGGCTGGTGCTCCACCGTCGGCATGGTCGGCTTCCATCTCGGGGGCGGTCACGGGCCCTTTGCGCCGTCCATGGGCCTCGGCGTCGATAACGTGCTTGAGATTGAAGTTCTGCAGGTCGGTCGCAACACCTACGGCCAGCCCGTTGTCCACAAGAAGATCGCCAGTCGCAACCGCAATCCGCAGCTCTTCTGGGCCATGCGCGGCGGCGGCGGTAGCGTTTGGGGCGTCGTTCTTTCCATGACAATCCGCGCCCACCCCGTGCCCGACGGAGGCCTCAGCCGCGTGTACATGTCCCAGACTGGCACCTTTTGCCCAGACGACTCGAGCAAGTTTGGCTACCAGTGGCTGCGCGGCATGTGGACTCGCTTCACCGCGTGGCAGCTGAGCCTCAACCAAAAGGTCAGCACGCAGCCCGGCTTCTTTATTAACACCACCCTGTACAATGAGAAGCGCAACCTTTGTTCCGTCACTTGGGAATTCAAATTTGAGTACTTCTACGCCGGCGGTCAGGCAGAGCGGGACTACATTCGGTTCCGCGACGGCCTCAAGGACGTGCTGCAGACGGACACCGTGTGGGAGGACAACTACAAGTCAGCCTATGATTACCTCGTCTCCATGCCCGCCGACAAGTTTACACTTGTCCCCGTGAACCCGCTGCCGGCGCAGCACCCGCCCTCGGATGTGGCCACAGGCTCTCAGAACTCGGTCCTTGTCTCGCGGCAGGCCTTGAAGACAAAGTTCACCTCGACCATGATGGACGTGCTGGACATCTGCGTCAAGTCCCTGAAGAATCCTGACAAGACGTCGCCGGATGTGTCGGGCTATCGCTGCGGCTTCCACTACCTCTACACGTCGCTGACGGGCAACCTGGGGAGCACACAGCCTGGCGACACGGCCATCTCGCCGGGCTTCCGCTCGGCGCTCATGCTGTGGAATGCGCGCACCTTGACGACGCAGCAGTCAAATGACACGGTGTACAAGCTTGGGCCTAACAGCTACTTCTCCGAGAGCTCGTATGTGATGCATAACTGGACGGCGAGGTACTGGGGCGAGAAGGCGTACGAACAGTTGCTGGGCGTGAAGAAGGCGCACGACCCGGGGAATCATTTCTGGTGCCATCACTGTGTTGGGGATAATCCGGATGATGCGTTTGGGGAGCCGTTGGGTGCTGCGGCTCAGGCTGATTTTGGAGACCAGCCGGATGCGGCGGCTCAGGCTGAGTTTGTCGAGCAAGATAAGTTGTAAAGCAGCAGTTGCGTGTTTGGCTGAGTGTGCTGGCTTAATTTAACCCCTGGCCTTTGCAAAATTAAGTATTCTGTAAAAGACTTCGCTATGCCTCTAGTGGAAGGAATAAAATACTCGTTGGGTTGCACCAGTTCGACTAGCAATTGGGTCAAGATGAATTGCGAGAGAGAATTGTGCGCTCATAAAACAACCGGTGCAGATGCATGTTAGGGCCGCACGTCACTTGTTCTTCGAGGTGCATCAGTCTTCGGCCGCGAGACAAAATTACGAAGATAAAGTACTTACCGTTGTTTTTACCACTAGTAATGTCCTCTATCGTCACCTCGCCCTAAGGTGACAAAAAATAACCCGAGACCCGAGGTGTCCTGGTGCACGATGTTGCCTGTTGGGCCGCGGATCTCGACCCCCTCTCTGGGTAGCATGCCGTCGAGCAGGTCGGAGAGGGCGTCACATAGCTGGACGCGGGGAGAGAAGTGGGATTCGATGGTAAACTTGAAGATGACATTTGCTGATGGGGTAACGTTCGGAGAGGTGGGTGAGTTGGGAGAGGTTGACGGTTGGCTTTTCTTGGGGTGGTATCTCTGCTTCTCGGCGGTTGCGGCAGGCTTCGCTGATAGGGTTATGCTGAGGCAAAAGCATGACCGCCCCGTCGAAGGTAGATCAGGACGAGCATTTTGTCTCGCAGTGTGAAAGTCGACCTAGATGTGCTGGCAGATTCCAAGACCCAACTCAGGTTTTCCCGGCGGCAGCTCGAAGGTGTATATGCGCGTGTTTTGGGGAACGGCGCGCGCCGGTCAATCAATCCGGCGGCTACCTAGCAGTGCTTTGGATTGCGGATTGGCCGTCCTCGCCCTGCTTGCTGAGCGTTCCGGGCTCGTTATGTGGCGGCCGTCTTACGGCGAACATAAAAAAAGAGAAGATACAATAAGGAAGAACAAGAAACGGAAGCAAAAAAAATGATCTCGAATCACCTCATCATTCCAAATTTGGACGAGCTGGGAATCGAACCCAGGACCTTTCGCATACAGGTGAGTATGCTAAGCGAACGCTCTACCAACTGAGCCACACGCCCGACAAAGTGGAGAATGAAGATGATCGAGAATTGGACGAGCTGGGAATCGAACCCAGGACCTTTCGCATGCTCAGAAACATGCTAAGCGAACGCTCTACCAACTGAGCCACACGCCCTTGATCTTGTTGTTGGAAGTCGGCGACGTGTGGAGGGCTTATGATCGCAATTCTGGAACATGCAGAATGCCGATGTGCAATGGTCACGAAAAGGAACCTGGGAAGACAGACGATGAAAAAACGGACCTACCTAGAAGACACCAGTGGGCATGTTAGTTCCACGGCATGTCACAACGGCAAGTGAGCCTGGGTAGGTAGGTAAGAGAGGGAGAAAAGGAAGACCAGCACCACATCATCATGCCCCTCCATAACACCTAAGAAAGGGTTTAGCAACTTACGTACTGTTCACTCGGCCAATTGAGGCCTGTTGAATATGGCACTTGGTCGATGCTCCATTACTTGGATCCATACTTCCATATAGATCGACCAAGAGGCGGACAAGTGACAGATGGACCCTTGAAGCGGCTCGGACAGGTGAACTCTCCAGGTACGGTGATGCCGACACCGCCGGCACTGTCGACTTGACTACTCTCTTGGAGACGCCCTCATTCTCTCGCCGCTGCGGTTCCAACGAGATGAAGTGCTTCAGTGAAACCCAGGCAGCTGCTTCATCCTGCAAGACTCTGATCGATGGCTTGCTTGCCACTCGCAACAACTTTCCGAATAGCCCTCGCTATGTGTGCCAGCTGGGCCAACAACTTGTCGCGTGCGTGGTACGTCCACCTTGGTCATGGCGCGGCGGCGAGCCTCAAGAGACGCCGCGCAAGTGCTGAATGGGTATCTGGTAAGTCTCGTGACCCCTTGCTCGGCAGCACCTACACCACACAATGCTTGTCTAACCGCCCCAATGGGTGCAACAACAACTAAGAGGGCTGTTGATAACGAAGTGAGGCAATATGTGATGAGAGTTTGCGAGGGCTTGTGAGAAGATGGGTGTGCCAATCAAGGAGTGAGGTGGATGTATGAATATGAAAAGGGTCGTGGTTTCAAGAGCTTACACTTGTGACCATGGCCGTACGGTAGCGTACTGGACATCCATAAGTCATCCTCTGTAAGTCCCATGATGAGCCTTCGGGAAGAGTACCCTGAGTCTCCTTTGTAACAATTCAACTAGATTCTGCCGGGACCAAGTCATATAGGCCGTTCCTCTGCTTCCGCTCCTGAGGGTTTTCCTAAATTCTGAGGGAAAATAAAAGGTGAGCCACAGTAAAGCCCACTTTGCTAAATGAAGGCGGCTGTGAACCTTCCACTTGGTTACCCCTTGAAAGTCCAGAAAACAACAAAGGGTGAAGAGCGAGGTGATAAGGGAGAAATGAAAGTGCAAAAAAGGTGACAATAACCTAATCCAATGGCCAGAGAAAGACAAAAGTCAACAATGTCTTGGAGAGACAAGATGAGGTTGGATGAGCAGATGCGGCGGAGAACTCTGTCAATGTATGAGTAGTAGTTCATTGCGTAGAGTGAATACGGCCAGTCACAGGCGTGATGTTGAACCGATGACCTTGGGGAAGACATAAGAGGTTGATGATGTCGGATCTTGATCTTCTCACAATGCGACCCCCACTCGAATTCGTGCTGGTCGTTGAATGGAACCTTGACGAGTTGTCGGATTACACTGGCTTGCCCTCAGGGACGGCAGAGCCGTGGAATCACGACATGTCGTCCACGACGCTGGTTGGCGCTTGGAGTTATACAGCTGAAGTTGACTTGATGCCTAAACCGTAGTCGCCTATGGGTGGTAGGCTGTGAACCGGGGAGGCGCTCCGGCGAAGTCATCTAGGCTCGAATCGACATATCGAAACCACGTCGAAGGAGCTTAGTGGGCTTCCAGGACACCAGGTGACCGTGAAGCCACGTGGAGAGCGCTCGACGGAGGGCCGATGATTATCACCCGAACAAGTCGCAAAATCGGAGTCGGGGTCGTGGCCGGATATAGTCGAAGTAGCGGGAGGTTGGGAGCAGAGAAGAGGATGCCATGGGATCCGTCATGTCTTTCCGACGCGTAGATTCCCTTCGGATCATCGGCAATGGCGTGCTCTTCGCAATGTCGTTATCGGGATTGTAGTTGAGATTGCGCTGTTTCGGGCCAGTTGAATGATTTGCCGAAGTCAGTAAGGAGTGGCAGACTGGTGTTCAATTGGGAGAAGGAGGTGAAGTTTCACACGGGAGACTGCAAAGGCGATGATGTCAGTCATTGGAGCAAGCAGCTACATAATTGGACAAGGAACCCCTCCTTTTGGTGGGCGTGGGCCCCACTATCAGTTGTGAAAAGTGGGTAAGCATCGGGGCCCGGGGAAGGCGCTAGCAGGGGTGAGCTGAACCTTGACTTTAGAGAACGACTCCGAGGGAAGGAACACCTCGAATCACCATCACAACGTTTGAGTGAGACACTGCTGTGCAGTTCATGACAGGCTGCACTGTCCAAGTGTTTGGGCAGTAACCATCCCGATGGACATATGCTACCCCAATTTCAAGACATCTCGTTGGCTTCAGTTTGGAGGTGTTCTCATTGAACAAAAAGCACCAAAGGTTGGTATCACGGTTGGGCTCCAGTTCCCAGCGCTACCTAACTCGGAAGCAGGAACGGGTTCGGCTCTAATACGTCCGTGAAAGCTTGACGTACCAGGCCGACTTTAGGCGTGTCATCTGCGGAGAGAAAGAATGGAATGCAAAGAATGAAAGAGAAGAAAGTTGGAGGGACCAATGGGGGTTAATTAACACCAGTGATGGAAAGGGAGAGAGCAATGAGAAAGGTTTGCCGGGTAGGGCAAGACTGACGACAGCTGCAGCAGGAGAAGAGGGGCAGCTCTCATCATCAATGGTCCATCCTCACCACCCATTCCATTGAGCTTGACGATATTACTATCTATACTCTTGGATAAAGACACTGACAGATCACAGCGTCGAGCTTGGTCGGACTGCTCCGTCGTGAGTGAGGGTGGGTAGAGGTACCAATCAAGAGGAAGCAAGTGCTGCTCAATCTGGCACTTCCCCTCTCTTGACGAGAGCTTCGGGATCCCTTCCCGTTCCTAGCCTCGAGTGAGTCTGGCTCCGTCTTATAAGTGCCTTCATATCACATATCCTCTCAGACATACCTAACTCTCTGTCCTTCCCACTTTTGTTGGTTTCTGGATAATCCGCCCTCATCATTTTAGTTTCTATCTAGGTACTTCCACTTGTTCTCTTTACTTTTATCACCGCTTTTCGTAACAACATCCATCCCTCACTCGGTCTGCCCCACTTGCCTCTATTTTTGAACGAGCAATCGAAAGATCTCGATACTAAGGTAGACCTAAACTCACACAACCCGCGTACCCTCCCCCCAGCAGCTCTGCACCAGTCACGGTGCAGCATTCCACTGGCTAGCCAACAGAGCTACGGGGAGCTCCAGTAGCTTCGCGCGGGGTCGATTGACTTGGAAGCCGCTAAGAGCATCTAGCCCATCAAGGTACGTGGTGCTGCCCCACTTGCTCGTCTGTTGCCAACCCCATGATTCCATCCGTCCTCCAATCCATTGTCAGCCCAATGAAACCTCGGACCAGAGACCACCTAGGAATAGGATCATATCATACGTTTTGAATGTCATGGCATGTCATCCGATGGTTCCCCAAGCTATATCTGTTGTTGTATCCCCAAGGGATTGGGTCCCCCTCCTCTCTTCTTCCCCATCTATGAACGCTTCCTGACGTTCTGATCCTACTGTACCACTATCCAGCAACTCCCCATCCATCTCCTACAATGGCCTCCAACACCACACAGCGTGTTCCCCTTAGAGAGAGGAGGCCATCCGTTGGCGCTCCTCTCGTCGATATTCAAGGAGGTGTTGCTCCCGCCGGCGTCTCCCGTCCTAAACACAAGAGAACCCTCACCGGCTTCGGTCCTGGAGAGATCAAGAATGTTGAAGGTATGGTTGATCCCTTGACACCAACACTACCTCCTGGTACAAACACTAACATCATCTTTCCAACCACTCAGCCTCCATCCCCGAGCCCCAGCGCAAGGCTTGGCTCGCCCACCAGACCAGCGGCTTCAAGGACAAGGACGGCTTCGAAACCGAGGTTGTCCGCCATGTCGAGACCACCCTTGCCCGTAGCATGTACAACTGCGACGAACAGGCTGCCTACTCTGCCTGCAGTCTGGCCTTCCGTGACCGTCTTATTCTCGAGTGGAACCGCACCCAGCAGCGCCAGACCTTCGCCGACAGCAAGCGTGTCTACTATCTCTCCCTAGAGTTCCTCATGGGCCGTGCCCTCGACAACGCCATGCTCAACATTGGTCAGAAGGACGTGGCCAAGGCTGGTCTGGCCGAACTTGGCTTCAGAATCGAGGATGTCATCGAACAGGAGCACGATGCTGCTCTCGGAAACGGTGGCCTTGGTCGTCTCGCTGCCTGCTTCCTCGACAGTCTGGCTTCCCTCAACTACTCGGCCTGGGGTTACGGCCTCAGGTACCGCTACGGTATCTTCAAGCAGGAGATTATCGACGGCTACCAGGTCGAGGTGCCAGACTACTGGCTCGACTTCAACCCTTGGGAGTTTCCGCGTCACGATGTCACCGTTGATATTCAGTTCTACGGCCATGTCACCAAGCGCACTGATGACAACGGCAAGACCATCGCTACCTGGGAGGGCGGCGAGATCGTCAAGGCCGTTGCTTATGATGTCCCCATTCCCGGTTATGCCACTCCTTCGACCAACAACCTGAGACTGTGGTCCAGCAAGGCTGCCAGCGGAGAGTTCGACTTCCAAAAGTTCAATAGCGGCGACTACGAGAACTCGGTCGCTGACCAGCAGCGTGCCGAGACCATCAGCGCTGTGCTCTACCCCAACGACAACCTCGATCGCGGAAAGGAGCTTCGTCTAAAGCAGCAATACTTCTGGGTTGCCGCTTCCCTCTACGACATTGTCCGCCGTTTCAAAAAGTCGAGGCGCGCATGGAAGGAGTTCCCCGACCAGGTGGCCATTCAGCTGAACGACACCCACCCGACTCTGGCTGTTGTCGAACTCCAGCGTATCCTTGTTGATCTTGAGGGCCTTGACTGGGAGGAAGCCTGGAACATCGTCACTAACACTTTCGGTTACACCAACCACACCGTCCTGCCCGAGGCTCTCGAGAAGTGGTCCGTCCCCTTGTTCCAGCATCTCCTGCCCCGCCACCTCCAGCTTATCTACGACATCAACCTCTTCTTCCTCCAGAGCGTCGAGCGCAAGTTCCCCAAAGATCGCGAGATGCTTGCCCGCGTCTCCATCATCGAGGAGTCTCAGCCCAAGATGGTCCGCATGGCTCACTTGGCTATTGTTGGTTCTCACAAGGTCAACGGTGTTGCTGAGCTGCACTCTGATCTCATCAAGACCACCATCTTTAAGGACTTCGTCGAGGTCTTTGGCCCTGACAAGTTCACCAACGTCACCAACGGTATCACTCCCCGCAGATGGCTCCACCAGGCCAATCCTCGCCTCTCCGAGCTCATCTCCAGCAAGACGGGTAGCCAGAACTTCCTCAAGGATCTGACGGAGCTGGCCAAGATCGAGCACTACAAGGATGACAAGGCGTTCCGCAAGGAGTGGGCTGAGATCAAGTACGCCAACAAGGTCCGCCTGGCCAAGCACATCAAGAAGACTACCGGTGTCGATGTCAACCCCTCTGCCCTGTTTGACGTCCAGGTCAAGCGTATCCACGAGTACAAGCGCCAACAGATGAACATCTTTGGCGTCATCCACCGCTATCTTACCCTCAAGTCTCTCTCGCCTGAGGAGAGGAAGAAATTCCAACCTAGAGTTTCCATCTTTGGTGGCAAGGCTGCCCCCGGCTACTGGATGGCCAAGCAGATTATTCACTTGATCAACGCTGTTGGAGCCGTTGTCAACAACGACAAGGATATTGGTGATCTGCTCAAGGTCATCTTCCTCGAGGATTACAACGTTAGCAAGGCCGAAATGATCATTCCCGCTTCGGATCTCAGCGAGCATATCTCGACTGCCGGTACCGAGTAAGTTTTCCGTTGTGAGGGTTGTGAAAGTTAGAAGCTAACCTTGAACAGGGCCTCTGGTACCAGTAACATGAAGTTCGTCCTTAACGGTGGTCTCATCATCGGAACATGCGATGGTGCCAACGTAAGCAATAACCCTATCTTCTATGCCATATTTTTTCTCGCTAACCCTCTCCAGATCGAAATCACCCGCGAAATCGGCGAGCAAAACATCTTCCTCTTTGGTAACCTCGCTGAAGACGTCGAGGACATCCGCCACAACCATACTTACGGCTCGTACACGGTCGACCCCGACCTCGTCAAGGTGTTTGAGGCCATCGAGAAGGGCACCTTCGGCGAGCCCAACGACTTTATGGGCATGATCTCTGCCGTCCGCGACCACGGCGATTTCTATCTCGTTTCAGATGACTTCCACAGCTATATTGAGACGCAGGAGCTCGTCGACAAGGCCTACCGCGACCAGGAGGGCTGGATCACCAAGAGCATTGAGAGCGTAGCGAGGATGGGCTTCTTCAGCTCGGATCGCTGCATCAATGAGTATGCAGAGGGCATCTGGAATATCGAGCCTTTGGCTGTCAAGGACCAATAAGGGGCGGAAACACCAACTGGGGAATGGGAGAAGGAAGATGAAACGGGGGTAGCTGGATACCTACAGTATTCTTGATTAATCGTTTGTTGGTTGGAAAGGGGAATGAGGGGACATGGGGTTGATGACTTAGCTTCTTGATTACGCCGTTACGATTCACATGATCCTATGAGTGATGGCTTTCTTTTGAAATAAGAAATTCTTGACCTTTTCTTTTTTTTACATTTCCCTGAATCACCTCCATTTTCAAGAACGCACTTTACAAGGGCGGCATGACAGTGAGGGCGTGTTCGGCAAACCAGTAAATGATCCAGTAAATAGGAATCCGTAAATCTGGGCGGTCGTGGTCCGTGTGCGGTACTTGTAGGAATCTGGGTTAATTCCTTTCAAAAGTCTCTCCCCTTGGTGTATCCTCTAACAATTTCTCACGTTTCCTAGGCTTTCGTTGGCTCAGTAAATGGCTTGGCAGACGGTTTACTCCACTACTCCTGATGCACGCTTTGTAATTGGTGGAGAGTTTTCTTGGCGGGCCTAATTTACTGGATTGCATTTAACTTCTCGAGAGGAGGGGAAACACCTTTCGTAAATGCGCCTTGACCACTTTTCTCAACCATTTGTACTTCTCAACTGCCAAGACGTTTACTGAAGCTATTTACTGGTTTGCCAAACACGCCCTGATTTAAATAGAACAAAGCAGCAGTGGTAAATCACCATGTGCTTGGTGCTCCAAATTTCGGACAAGGCGAATTATTTCCTGTTTATGATGATTCTGCTGCTAATATTCATCTCCAACGAGCTCCACTTCAGATGGATTTATTGAGTGTTTGTTATTTTATTGCCTCTTCTTGACTCCAATGGTACAGTGTAGTGGTCATATTGTCATCAGGTTTTCTTGCATCCTTCTATTTAACCCTCCTCTTTTTCCATGCTTCTCAGAACTGACTTTCTCCTCTAACATAAATTTTGTTTCCCTACCTAAGGAGGCTGGCTGGCGGGCTGGCTGGTTCTGTTTCATAAGCAACGTCCTCCAATCGAACGATCGTTTCTCACGTTTGTTCAGTTTCGTCATCCCTTACTTTTATTCCTCTCACTCATCTCGCTTCAAATTTAATTTTTCCTTTCCTCAATTTTTTTTTTTTTTTAATTTACCTCCCTTATCTGTTTAACCTACCTCACTTACTTGGATCATTGGAAAAAAAAAAAAAAAAAAAAAAATAAAAAAAAGAAAAAAAAAAAAAAGGGGGACGGGCGAACTGATTGATTGGAACGCCTGATTAAATTTTAAAAAGATTTTTTTTTTTTGGGGCCAAACCAA